CAGTATGTCAATCAAAAGAGTCTAATTTTAAGGCCCCTTTTCTCTCCAAATAAGCCTTGGTTTTGATGCACTTGCGTCCCAACTTCATCCACAAAGCTGAGGACACAAGAAAGTTTGGCATCAGCGTGCAAAAGTATGCAGCAACAATACACCAACTTCACATCATAAAGGCGCAAATCCATCATGGCCAACACGAAGAAGATCACAAGTGTTTGCATGAAACCCTGAAACCCTGGTTAAAGTTTGCAATCAAACTTTCAAGAGGCATTGAAACTTTGCATGAAAGTTTTACAAAACTTTCATGGTTCAAAAGGTTCATGAAACTTTTGTTTTGTACTTAGCCTACTTTAAACGTTCAAAAACTAGACGATGAGTGGCCCGAAAGCATTTTTCATCACGTAGGATGTCAGAATGTGAGTTATGTGTTAAGTGTGGGTTTCTGTGTGTGTGTGTGTCTATGTCCGTGTGTATGTGAGTCTGTGTATGTGTGTGTTCGTGTAAGTTGAGGCAGTGCGTGGGTGTCTGCATGTGTGTACTGAGAGAGATACGACACGTGGAGGCGTGCTGCAATCGGACTGCCCAGCAGCGCTGCATTGTCGGCGATGGAAGCGTCATACAGGGTTGGCAGCAAAGAGGCAGCTGGAACGAACGCGAAACGAAACGAAACGAAACGCGAAACGAAACGCGAAACGAAAAGAAACGCGAAACGAAATACGAAACTAAACGAAACGTAGGTTTCCTGCTAGTAGCTTCTTGTTTACTAGTAGTAAGTAGTACTTGCCGATGCTTGTTTGTTGCCCCTGTTGCCCTTTGAGCGGCTTTAGTCTGTAATTGTGCGTTGTCATGTCAATGCACAGCCCCTCCCCGCTGTGCACAGTGGCGCCCTCCAGCAAACTACATTGGCACCTCCCAGTACAGGAGACAGTTGCCCGCCTCCTTGACTTGAAAACCTGGAGACTGACAAGCCTCCATAGGCTTTGGAGAACGTTGCCTCCTTGCCTATATGCAGATGGGTGCAGGAGAAGTTAGCCTTCTAACCTTGCATGGCCCACTGTGGCACAGGAAAAGTAACAGTAAGTTGCTGTGTCTTGCCAGACCTGTTTTCCAACCGGATTAGGCCCAGACACTCTTCAATTTAAAAAATCTATGTATGTAAGGGCAAAGTGCGACATCGTCGACAACAATGCCTGCAAAGCATTATGCCGCCGCATCTCTCCCCAGCCCTGATGAAAATGCCCAGCTCTGCCATGGCTGCCAAGGCTTCTATGAATTCATCTCTCTGGGCCGGAGTTTCTTCAAGCCAATCGAAGCGGATAAGGCCTCAAAGCCCAAGACTTGGCGATGAGGAAAATTGTGAGAGACGACTGAGGCATCGGAGAAAGCTCTTCAGCTAATGTGATGTGAGGCAAGCCAAAGCGAAGGTTGGTGAAACGGTGAACACACTGTGGCACAGGGAGATCGCAGGCAAATCTGCATCACACACCTTGGCCATGTAATAGCAACCATTGCCAGGCATTCCAACCATTGAGGGAAAGGAGTCTGAACTTCAAAGGCACGGCTGCGACAGTGACGTGAACACAAGACAAGTGACAAGTGAGTGAAGGCAGTGTGCTACTGAGGCTGCAGCAACTGGCCCAAGAGAACATTATTTTCCCCTTCTAAGCCGCTCACAGACTTCAAGTCAAGATGTTCCAGAAACGACTCTGGACTTAGGATTGGCCAGGGCAGTGAGAGTTTCACTGCAGGCTCCCAACACACTGCCACTGGATTCAGCGGCAATGATACCCATCGCAAGTCAGCGACACAAAAATACCTACCAAGCCATGCTCGACCCCGAAGCGTCGGAGCCGGGCTCATCCTCATCCTTCTTCTTCTTGGTCGTCTTAGTCTTCTTAGACTGGGGCTCTTCCACGCCCTCAGGATTGGCTTCGTTGTCCTTCTCTGTAGCCTCGGCATTCTTGCCGCGCTTCTTAGTCGTCTTACCCTTCGCCTTGGCTTTGGCTTTGGGCACCGCCTCTGGCTGCTCATCCTTCTTGGCGATCTTCATCTCAGGGATGTAAAAGGTGGATCCGTCTCGCTGCTGCTCTTCAAAGATGAACTCTGTCAACATCATCTCAAGCTTCCTGCAGTGGGCGTCCGCGCCGCAGACTGCCAAACAAGGAAGGCGAGAAGCCATTGCCGCTTTCAGCATCTCTCCTGCAGGGTTTGCCATGTTGATTCGAGATATTTACATGAGATAGTATACTGACTAGTTAGCTCAAAAATGTCAATTGACATTGGTGGAGTGTCATTTTTACATTGTTGGGTCCTTGCGCCGGAGATGCGTCCACAACTCCGATTGCGGCCAATGAAAGCAGCATCTCCATATAGTACTCCTGCGGCAGCATGGAACAGCTGAACACGCTCTCAAGCTCCCCAGCTCCCGCAGAGCCGTCAGGTTCGCTGGTCCCTCGCTCGCTGGCATCATCGGCCGGCTTGGCCAAGGACACGTGCCGCGCCCCCAAAACATCGAGTTTGTCCTTCCTGAGTGACACAGAGGGCAGGCTGAATCTGAGACCCTTGGAATTAACAAGCCTAAGCCTAAGCTAAGAGGACATTAATTTTTAAAGGACTAACCCGTGACCTGGGAGCTCGCCACAGCTTTGACGCGCCCAAGCACGAGATGTAGCCGATGACATCGCCGTGGCTGTAGCCCGGGTAGATCTTGCGCTCAACTTCCGGCGTGCTCAAACTCAACGGCTTCTCTGTGTAGAGGTTGCACACCATCTGCTGGCTGTAGGCACCAGCTCGGACGATCTGCTTCCGGTCACACACAGACTTCTCATTGAACATCAACCACACAGACAGCTTGGAAGCCTCCTTGAAAAGCTTTGGGCCAGCGCCCAACGGGTCCACCACAGCCACGACAGTGCCTTCTGCAGGCAAGGAGCAACGAACCTTGTCCACTGCCTGGGCGCCCAAGCCGATACAAGGGCAAGCAGCAAGCTTCTCCACGAGGTCACTGTCCTGAAACGGCAAGAATGAAAACAGGAATCAAAAGTGATCGCTTCAAAAAATGACTTGGAAAAAATATTTAAGGCAAGGAACTGGTTTCCAACGCTTTCCGCGCAGCTCAGGTTGGCAGTTCGGTCCCGAAGATTCCCCAAGCAACGCTGTGTCCAGGTGCACGAGAATCGTTTTCTTGCCAATCTCAGGCTGCAAGCCAGTTGCAGCCTGCCACTGGGAAACTTGGAGCTGCAGCTGGGAGTCATTCTTGCCTTCGGTCACGAAGGTCAGGTACATCCTCACTGACTTGTTGGCTACTGCTCGCCAGGCCGGTCCGGCTTCGCGAGGGGACCCTAGGGATTTAACAGGGTCTGCTCGCTCGCAGAGCCAGACCGGCCCGGCTTCGCGAGGTGACCCTGGACCACCTTGGGCGCAAAGTCTCACAGGAGACCAGTGGGGCCTACCTTAGACCACTCTGCCTCCTTCGAAGCAGGAGGCAGAGTCACAGAGTCAGCTCTGTTGTCCACTGAAATGTCTTAAGGACAGCACAGGCAACCAAAGGTTACTGCCCAGGAATTGTCAGATAGGTGAGTTCGCTAAGTTTTACCTTCAACTCAAGCGGCTGCCGACACTCCAAAAGAACGACCGTAGTCGATGCGCGCGCTAGTCAAAAACTGCACAAACTCAGCCTTTGTTTGGCAAAGGCCGCCTGCTCGTTTCAGCTCGGCAAAGTGCCGGTCACTCTTGTCTTTGACAAGACAAACAACATTTTTTCGCACTTGGTCCATGGCTACTCCAGACCATAGTTTCTGATCAAAAACGGCCCACCTCAAAAGCTGAGTCATGGCCGGCTCTTCTTGTTTGAAGTCTGGTGTGCAATGAATCTGAGGCCACTTCCGTCTCAACGCAGCAAACTTCTGAGAGCAGTATTGAGATCTCATTCCCCCACGCTTCAGAAGCAATGAATGAGAAATAACACAGCCCCCCGTCGTCGCGGCCATGAAATAAGCCTTCAATGGTACATCAGAGTCATCCACTACAAAGACGGAAGCAGTTCGGATGTCCTGGCCAGTTCCATGAGAATAAAAAATACTATGGTTATTACATGTACTTACGTTTGCTATGCTCAATTGACCAAAAATAGAAACATATTATTAAGGTCCTCATGCGGCAGCAATGGGTCGCATGTGATCGGCGGCAAGCCACTGGCAAACCAGGCCTTGGCAGGCCCCAGAGATTGCCACCTCCAATCGCATTTCTTAGTTGTGGAAAGAAGCTGACATTGCCGCTTCTGCCGTTTCAAACGCATGGAGCGATCCGCTTTGGAATCCTCTCTGGCTCTCTTCATTGCCTCCTGTTCCAAACTCAAGCCTTCCGCAGCATCCACACCATGGTAGTAGCCATCACGATGTGCTTCGATCTTCTTCTTCCGCGCCGTCTCGCGCGAGGTTGCAAGCTCCTTTCACCGGGCGGAGCGCAAAACTTTGAAAGCAAACGGTTGAAAAAAACTTTAGCAGGATAAACAAGCTCAAATGCCCTGTCCTTCTGAGCTCTGACAGATAAATTCGCAATTGCCACAGGTTCCTGCCCAGAAGCTGAGCTCTGGGCAGCAGCTGCTTTGACAGAGGCACGCCTGCGGTTGATCCAAGTTTTCTCCACCAACTTCCCAGCCAACTTCGTTCGAGGCCCTCTCTTCACTCCCTTGTCAAAACGTTTGCCTTTGTGCTGGCCCAGGTGTCTGGACACTTTGCTTGCGTAGAGCTCACGAGCTTTGTCCACGACCGAGGCCAAAGGAGTTGCAGAGGAGTCAGTGTATGTCAAGGAAACCATGGCTCGACGCTCTGATTCGGCTGCCTTTGGACCAAAGTGTTTCGCTCCCTGGCTCCTCTGAGCCTTGGAAAAGGCCTGCTCCACCCCAGAGCTAGACGTTGTCCAGCATGCGTGTGCGCGAAGCAACGGGGCCAAGTTCTTGGTCTCGTATTTTTCCTTCAGGGCAGAAGACGCTTGGCTTCTTTTCAAAGCTTGTTTCCATGCATCCCGGCTACTGCAATCCTGCTTCTGACGGAAAGCCATGGCCACTGGGCGAAGAGTTTCAAACTCAGAGACAAGCCCTTGCTCATCAACTGCAAAGCCGCAGCCAAGCGGCGAAGACAAGAATATCTTTCATCTGTGCGCCGTGCGTCAGAGCGAAGATCTAAGACGCCCATGGAGGAAAACAAATGAAAATGAGGAAACTCTGCTTCGCAAGCCTCATGGCAGAGGTGCACCCATGGCTTGAAGGCCTGCAGGACGGCGCGGCGATCTGCAGCAGAAACCCTGATTCTTTTCTGTTGTCCCCGGTGCTTCACATATAATCCAGGCTCTGATTGCAAGACATCTAGACAATGCTTGCTATAGCCATTGATTTCGAAAACTTGCCCTGGTGTTCCTTGTCCTTCGTTGTCCATCAGCCTCAAGAACTCCATGACTGTGTCAGCGGCATCGGCGGCTGCCGCGAGCAGAAGCAACCGTTGCCCCGACACGGCATCCATCCAGGTGTGCAACCAACCGCAATCTTCTTTCAAAGCCAAGATCTTGTGAAGCACCTCAAACATTGGCTGCAGATTGAGAATGAATCTCCCCATTGGCTTTGCAAACGATGCGAAGCGATGCTTCGCTGCTGATAAGCTGCTGGTCTGAGGCCCTGAGCCTCTGTCGATGGCTTCCTGCAGCCAAAAGGAATAGTTGGGGGAGTGGAAGATCTTCTGGGCCACAGAGTCCTTGTGTGTGATTGTGCTGTTGACCACATCTTTCACCTCATTCATGACGTGCCATGGACGTTTGATCAGCCTCACGCAGGCATGGCTGGCATCACGGCCAAGCAACAACAGGTTTGGAAAAAATGGATCTCTCTGCAAGTCATTGTGATCGGACCCCCTCCTTTTTCTGAGCATGTCCGACGCCAGGATTTCAGACGATGCTGCGTCTGTCACCATGATGTGAACTGTCTGTCGGATGTGCTTGAACAATCCTGAGTCAAGCGACCCTGCAAAGCCAGGTGTGCAAAAGAGCTTCACAGCCGTCACAGTGGCAGCCGCTATGTGCTCGGAAGTCTTTCCTTCCACCAGGCGAGGCTGTCCAATGCAGCCGCTGCAAACTTGTAGTTTGGCATCCACCGCGCGAAATCTAATCAAAAGACGTCCTTCCCGTTCCTAGGTACTGTTGAGGAACAATGAGTTTAAAATAATCTTCTTACCCTAAAGTTGAAAAGGGGTGAGTGAAAAGAAGCTAACTAAATTGGTCGAGACACATCCCTCATCAACGTAATGCTTTGGGCAGTAGCCAGGAAAACGCGATAAGAGTGTAAGATGGATTCGCTGAGGCAATAGTGCATCAGCTTTGTTCGAGAAGAAGGTATTCCATCATTCTTGTCACGCTCCGAATGTCCTCGATTGAGCTTGCGCACAAGGTCTTGCCACTCATCTGCACCAGGGGCATGAGAAGTTGCATCTCCAGCCGTGGCGGCCATGTGGTACTTAAATTTCTCATGATGCCGAAACCTCCATGTTTTCCAAGTAGCGTCGGGCTGTAGAGAAAAAGTGGCATAAGTGGAAAGCTGAGCATCACCTCCTGCCCCTTTGTATTTCCCAGCATGCAGTGCGCAGTCTTTGCACCCCACTGTCAAGGTATCGCTCTTGCCTGCATAGCCGGCCCGCAGCCAAGGAAAATTTTTCCTCCAAGCTGAGCCTTTGAGCAGCCAAGCGCACTCAGAGCAGCTGCCAGTTTTGCAATGCTGCCCATGCTCCACCAATTGCTTCGAAGACGGCGACACTAGAGTCACATCAGGCACGGTTTTGGCAGCCAGAGCCATGACCATCCCTGGACGCCTCGAAGAGCCAGTCTGCAGAGGAATTGAATGTCACTACGCAAATGCTCTTCAAAATTTCAATCCAGCACGACGACTGCTCTGCCTGACTTGGAAGCCGTTAAGTTACTACCCCCGACTACTACCATTCTACGCATCGCCGGCGGCGGTCCCCAATTTTTTTCTCGCAAGTCAGAAGGCTATCAAAGCAACTTGTGCCACTTCCGGGTGCTCATCAGGCTAGTGAATTAAAGTGGACTGGTGTCCAATTAACTACATGCCGCACCAACTTCCCTCAGTCAGTGTGGAGTCAGAGTCGCCTTCTACCAATTCACCACGCCGGACGAGCTCTTTTTCGATCTTTCTGGCCAGAGCTCGCGCCTTGTTCTTCATAGGCGAGCATTTTTTGAGATAGCCCCATTTCGCAACGAGGCCGTGAGTGGACGTGTTTCGGAGCAGATTCTTCTGTTTCTGCACAGCATCAGCTTTCACAGCTAAGCTGTCACTGTCCTTGGTAGTAGTGCTCTCTGTCGGCTCCGTCTTCAGAGTGTCCTTGATCACTGGTGAAGACGACATGGCTGCAAAGATCCTGTCTAAGCAGCTCTAAGGAGTGTAAGTTTCAAACTTGCCTGGCCAGTCTACTTTTGAGCCAGCAAAGCAACAATGACAAGGAAGCAAATGCAGAAACGACAATCAGAAGATTTCAGAAGCAGTCTTTCGAATTCCTCCTTCTAAACCCTGGTTGAATATGATGAGGAGGCTGTCCTTGGTGACAAAGGCCGTCCTTGACCAGCGAAGTGTGAGTTGAACTCCGACCTCCTTTGACTAGGAGACTGGCTGCGACTTGTGTCTTGACAGCCGCCTCCTGTGCCTAGGAGATTGCGGAGGCCCCATTTCTATCTCCTTTGATTGAGACTAATGTTTTATCACGCATCCTGGATCCCTGAGCTTGCTTCTTTGCAGTTTTCGTTTGAAGGCGTAGCGTACCTCCTTCTCTTCTCTGAGGTCTCCATGCGCAGGAGACTGCTTGACCTTCCTTCGCTTGAATTGTTATTTTGTCGGAGCCCTTAGATTCTTCACCTGTGTAGGAGTGCGCTTCAGCCTCCTTCACAGTCAGGGCTGCACGTAGGAGCCCAAAGGCTTCCTTCAGAAATAAGATCATAACTCAGTCAAACTCCTTATCGTCATCATTGCGATGATTATTTTATGATAGGCTAGGAGTCTGACAAGGAGGCCGGAAAGTGTTCGAGCCTCCTTGCCATTGAATGAAGCTGATAGGAGACAGGACCAGCCTCCTTGCTCTCTGAATGGAGACAGGAGACCGTTCCAGCCTCCTTGTTCCTGGGTCCTTGATACCCCGACGAGCGCCTCCCCAGCAGCACGCAATTTCCTTTTTAAACACCCGCCTGACAGTGCCATGTCGCAGTCTGAGTCTAGCCGCTCGTCCAAATCCAGCCCCACCTGCCACGTGGCCATGACGACGACGACGACGAGGACCAGGATGAATGATGTCCATCATCGTGCCAGTCGCCCCAGTGGCCGCCTCCCCGCCACAAGGGCGAATGCCAGTCAGCTGCACCTGGATCATTGTCATCGTCGTCGTTGTCGTCAGCGGCGTGGGCAGCTTTGGTGTGGGCATACCACACCGGCCTCTTCTTCCCCTTGTTTGCCTTGTGTCGTTTGGGCTGGTGCCAAGCCTGCCACAGCTCCTGAATGGATCTGAGTTCAGACCCGCGGTGGAAACTGTTATCAGACTATCAACGCTTACTATCGCTTACTTAATAAAGAAACGTAAGAGTCAAAAATATGAAAGCCGAGGCACGCAGTCTTTGTTGAGACATTCCGACTTCCCCTTGTAGGCGACCTGTTTGCAGACGCGGCAGAGCCTCAGGTCAAGGTTAAGCCGCTTTTTTTCTGCTGGCGCCTTCCGGTCTGGCGCCTTCGGGTCAGGGCTGGCGCCGTCGACGACTACAGCAGGCCCGACTGGTGGCACCGGGGCAGTAGGCCCAGGATTCGCTGGCGCTGAGGCTGACGGGCTCCTCCAAGGCGGCACTGCTGTGTCATCAGGCGGTCCTGCGGCCGGGGTCCCAGGGAGGCGCGGCTGGTGTCGTTGGCCCGACTGGGGGTGCACCTGAGGTGAAGGGCGCCCCCGGCGCCGTTGGTGCCACAGCTGGTGTTGGCACCGCCGCTGGTACCGCTGTGCGACCACCATCAGCTCGAATCGCACTCTCGCCTGCGTTTCGCGCACTCGACACGCACGATCTCCGCAGAGGGTCGCGCGGTGATTTCACAAATCGCGCTCTCGCCTGCAATTCGCGCACTCGACACGCACGATCTCCGCAGAGGGTTGCGCGGGCAGCCGGCAAATCGCACTCTCGCCTGCGTTTCGCGCACTCGACACGCACGATCTCCGCCGCTCTCGCCTGCATTTCGCGCACTCGACACGCACGATCTCCGCAGAGG